ATTTTTATTATAATTATTGCTCAAAATTTTTATTATTATTAATATTATTATTTATATACTTTTATTATTATTATTAATTAACAACATTTTACAAATTACGGGGACGGGGAAATGTCGCACGGGAAAACGTATTAGACGGAAAAATATTTTACGGGGAAGTGTTTACGGGGAAATGTTCGACGGTGAAATGGGGACGGGGAAATGACCCGTTACCATTGGTAAATCGGTTAAATTCCTAGTAATATAATGTATATCTATTATATTGTTAACATGATTAATGATTATAAATTATAGATGTTTCGCCTCTAACTGGTAGTAATAAATAGGACTCAGATTTTGTAGCAAATGCTTTTTTTGAGAGGAGTGTAATAGAAAGAAAATTATACATAAATATGTTTTGAATCGTTCTAATTTCAATGAAGTAAACTTTTTTTTTCTTTTTTTCCATAAAACCTGCTTTTTATTGCTTTTCCCCCTATTTGCTTCTTTTTTTTGTTGAAAATTTAACTTATTTATAAGTTATAGATTAAAAATATTATATTATTAATTTTAGAAATTATAATACTGATAAAAAAACCAGTAATAAATGGATGACTGATAAAATAAGTACCTATCGTTATTGTGTCGAAATTGTATAGTTTTAAAATAATTTGAATTATATCTGCGTATTTTTATAGCACATTCTAATACTTTAGTTAACTGGTAAATATCAATCAGTGAGGTATAGTGTTCTAAATAATTTCTCTATGATCGTTATTAGTACCCAATAGGATGAATTTTAATGAAAGTAATTTTACCAAATATATGTTCGTAAATTCCTTTTTTAATATTTAATTTAATACGTAACTTATTTTTTTTTTGTTTTTAGAATTAAATTTAATAAATGCTTTTTTTAGCTACTTAAAATGCTTTTTCTAAGAATTTGTTTTGCTACAAAATCTGAGCCCTAGTAATAAATTAATAATACATGAACAAAAAAGACATATTATGGTCTTTTAACTGTGTCTAACGACTGTCACTATCCGAAAATAACGAGTCTTCACTTTTTAGTTGGTTACATTGCTATCCTATGTAAGTACTGAATAATATACATGAAGTTAATTAAAAAAATGGGTATTCGTTATTAGTATGTGATCTACCAGACCGATAATTAATTTAAACAGTTAAATTAAAAATCATAAAATTAGATTACCTATTTTATTGTTAGAGATTACGGATTATATTATTCAAAATCAATATAAAAAAAATTGTTTTTAATAAAAATGTCATAAAATTATTTTATTATAAATTATGTTTGGCAATACATTTTTTGTACATCCCTTATAAATTAAAAAAAAATTACATTTTGTTTTTTAATAGATCGGTGCCATATATTGTTGGAGATAGATTTTGGATTAAGTTTATCGTTGCAATAAAAATCTTCATATTAGGTAATTTTTTTATCAGCTAACTTTTACTATCTCAAAAACTATTAACATTTTTAAATGCATTTCTTTTGCATATCTTGAATTCATTATAAAATTTATTTATTTTTTTAAACTGTTCGTTTAAAGTTTGAATTTTTTAATATATTAAATCTAAATTTAATAAAAAAGCTGTAAGTTTAAGAAAATAAAAATAAAATAAATACTAGATAAAAAAAATAAGTTAATATTTTTGTAGTGAATTAAAATTATATTAAAATTCTAATCTTTTTTAGAATAGTGTTTATTACTTTTTTATGTTTGTCGTTAAAAACCTACCGTGAATATGTGTGATGTGTCCCATTTCATTATATTTATGTCAGGTAGATACATCGTAGCTAATAGATACATGCAGTTTTCTATTAGTTTATTTATTATTATAGGTAATGAAAATGTACTTTCTTTATAATTGATTTAGACTATAATGGATGATTCATTGAGCGTGCACACTTTGTTTTTATCCTTTTTTTTTTTTTTTTAAGTATATTTAAAAATTTCAAACACAGAATTTGGATGAATTCATTATTAAATTGAAAATTTGGGAAGGAAGGGGGTGAGTATATATTATAGTTGGATTAATATTATATTAAATTATTATATTTTAGTAGTACATATTTATATTTGTGTAGAATAGCGTAACAAATAATTTCTAGTAATTAATTCTTATAATCAAACAGTTATAACCGAACGACTTATGACCTCATAATAATGAGACAATTAAATCCTTTTTAAATACATTCTTTGTACAATTAAATTAAATCAAAAATAATTTTGTATTATATTATATACTATTTAAGATTTTTAAATATCTATATTATTTCTTATAAGTTATTATTATGTTACAGTCTTCAGAAGATAATTTTAATAGTCGTTTAGCACCTACCTATAAGTATAAAATATATACTAGTACAGGGGTCGGCAACCTGTAGCCCGCGGGTCACACTCGGCCCGTGTAGCGATTTTATGCGGTCCGCGATTACAATTTATAATTGGTATAAAAATATTGAATATCATAGTAAAACTCTCATTGAATATAATATTTGAATAATTAATTACTTAATATGAATCTTTTGATGTACAAAAATTAAATTATAAAAATAATAAACGCTATAGTTTATATTATACTCTTCAAAAATTATGTATAAATTATCTATTAGATATACTTAATATGTGGCCAACTAAAACAGTATTTCTTAATCTTTATGTAATATTGACCCACAAATATACTTTTTATTGGGTACGCGACCACCCACTAGGGTATTATTTCAGTGAAGGTGATGTGTATGTGATGTGTGATATCTAATCTATTTGTTTGTTTCATTTAATTTATTGGCCATAGTAGAAAATTCTTTTTTTCATAAATAAGTAGTAGGGAAAAGTAATAGTTTTTTTATCGTATTTATAGAAAGTTCTTGATATTCTTCATATACTGCGCACCAAAAATCTATAACCGTTTCATTTTAAATATATTTTTATAAGTCTTATCACAAGAAAGTTCGATAATTATACTTTTAAAAAGCGTATTAAAGTTTAACCCTTCAAAAGAAATAGTGAAACTGTGAAAGGATTTTCAATCTATTGAAAATCGTTACGAATGAATTTTGGAAAATAATTATTTAATGCAATTGATATTTGATTTAAGTATAACGAAATAATTTCTTTAATATCAGTGACATATTAATATCCATTTTAAAATCCATGTTCTACATTCTATAATGCTAGGTAGACTTATTTACATTATATACGTACAGGTATAAAATAAAGAAATAACTTAAGCATTTATAAATTAACTGTTAAAATTATTATCATGTATTATATAATGGAGATGCCTAATTAGTTTATGAACACTGCGAGTCACGTCTCATCATAAATATTTTGCGACTTATAGGTTAAGAAACACTGTGCTAAAATATTATGCAATATTTCATGTTTTTAAATAGTTTTCAGTAAATTAGAAATGAATAATATTCTTCTAATATTTACATTATTGCAAGTACTTAATCATTTAATTTAATTGCTTAACTCACATAGTTTATCTTTATATATTATCTAACATAGTATTATTATACAGACATTTATTAAAATATACATTAAATATTTTATTTAATATTTTATATTTACTAATGATAAAAATAATTTAAAGTAGGTGTTGGAATCAATACCAATCGGCTATTTATTTTAAATATTAATTGGTTAATTTACAATTGTAATATTTATTGTTGACTCTAATCTTAATAACTAATTATACGTTATTTACGTAATACAAAATAAATAAATAATCAAACATCAACATTTGTCGTTTCGCAGGAGAACAAATAATATGAAACACAATTGGCTATAAAATAAACATTCATATTGAAATGATTTTTTGCATAGCTTTAATGTACTTAGTTTTTTGTAGAGTACAGCTTCTGATTAAAATAAAAAAAAAATTATTAAAGCACTTTAATACGCATTAATTTATTCGATTCTCAAGTATGGTTCTATTATTTAGGATTCACATACTATTCTCGATTTTTACTGAATAGGAGTCCAACGTTGATTTTTTTATTAAGTATTCACCATGCCCATCATGATTGTTCACCAATTGCTGATCTCCTTGACTTAATCTCATTTATTCATCGCAGAGAAATTTTGGAACTTAAATTGCTGAGTGGGTTGTTCGTATGTAGTAAATTACTTCTTCTTATTTTTTATCTCTATTGTTTCTCAAACATACTCAAGATCATGCATGTCAACTTGAATTATCAAGTGGGCTAAATGCATTGAATATAGTTTATTATGCGGGCCACACATAAAAATTTAACAAAAAAAGTAAATATTTTATAAAAATGTTTCAATTTTATTCTTTACGATGTCGAACATAGCAAATACAAATAAATTAAAAGGTTAGCTTATTCGAAGATAAGACAGTATAATAATGTATACCAAATAAACAATTCTTTAAAAATCGTAGATAGTTAAGACACGGCATTAATATTTTATTATTAATTTTTTTTTTGTCGATTAATATTGGAAGCCACGGGTTACAAAAAAATGAGCTGAGAGCCGCGTGTTTGACGTATCTGCTCTAGATCTTATGCTCCATTCTGTATCACTACCAAATATCAAGACATAAATGAGACATTTTATATTAAATGCTAATGTTAATCCTTATTCTATTTTTCCTTAAAGAATTGTTATTTTGTTTTTTTATATCTATTTTTTATGTTTAAAATAAATATATTTCAACAAAAAATTGAATACCCGTTTAAATATAAATAAATAATTTAAACTTTGTTAAACATTTATATTATAGTTCAGCGAAAGGCCTATACACTATATACTATACTTTAATCACTAATGTATATTACATCTTATTAGACACCTACCAAAATAATATCTTATAAGTTTAAGGAACATCATATATTTTGTATTAATAAAATCGTAAAATATCGCTTTGCTTTTAATATTTCATCTGTTTACTATTAGCTATTTTACACACTTACATATAATTACCCAAAGATAATATTATTATCATACAATCTTATTTATTAGGTGGCTAACACGATGGAGTCAATCAGATCGTATTCATCACTCGTTGCAACTATAATAATGTTAGCCATTCCTAAACACTTTTATAAATCGGCCATCATAACCTTTATGGTTTGTGCATTTATCGCCTATATCCTCGTGGCAGATTTTCCGAGCTTGACACAGTTGTGGGTTGGTACTCATCATTTATATTATAAAAAAATACATACGTTCCAAATGGATATTATAGTATGACGTATCTGGCAAAAGATATACGACAAACATATTATATTTTTATCCGTTTTTACGACATTGTCACTTGTCATTATTTTTCATCAAAAATAACACTAACTAATACTATTGATATATGTACATGTATTATAGCTGGGTATGGTTGGAATAGGTGCAACATCGAACATTTTCATATTAGGTTTCAGCTATTTAGTGAGTCAGATCAGTGACAAACAACAGTATCAAAAGGCGACCAGCATTGTATCGGTCAGTTTGCAGCTTGGCGTTTTCTGTGGTTCTGTATTTTCTCAAATAATTGTTAGCACCACCGGAATTTATACATTTCTACCGTATTTAAATGCATCTGGTAAGTAATTATTAGTCCGTAATTTTGAACCGTTTTATTTAGTCGAGTGCATGTTTTGATTGATTTTTATAATATTATACATTATAATATGTTTGACACCTGTTCCTGGTTTTAGAAATAATTGAAAACAATTTAATAATGCATTACTACTTATAAAACTAATGGTTTCTTAAACATTATTTAGCGGTCCATAATTGACGTTAATAAGACGTTTTATAAAAATAGTAACTTAGGTTAATGTATACTATTTAACGAACATTAATTTTAAGATTTGAGATTTTTAACCGTTAAACTCAGTGGCGTATAATATAGTTTCTGTTTTAATTAAAACAATTTTTCGGGAGTTAGATAGGTATTTCATATTTTTTCATTTTTCTGGAAAACTCTGTATAATTAAAATTGTTGTTATTTTAAAGCCTAAAGGAACTACTGCTATAAAGTCTCGCGTATATTATCATGTGAATTATTCTAATTAGTTAATTTATGTAATATGAACATTTAACAGCTATTTTTATTTTTAAATACATATTTTTTTTTTTTTAATGAAAATCCTTTTGATTGTTTTTAGCTATGTTATTATCTGTAATTAGTGCATGTTTATTTCCGACGAAAAAAAAACATTCTTTTCGAATGGCGAATGTGCCTAGCGAAAATACTAGACTTCTTGACAATGGTTTAAAAAATAAGGATCCTTGTGAAAAAAATATTGTAGGTAATCGTGGTGTATACAAAACCAGTATTCATGTAATAAACATAAATTAGTATAAGAAAAATATACCAGATAATGATATATAAGTGCTTGACTAAATTCTGTAATAGATATTAGTTTTTTTTTATTTAGGTCAAAATGGAACTTATCAAGTACAATAATACTGCAGTAGAAAATAACTTGAAAGGAATATTGTTGAACTTTAAAACATCATACTCGGATATAGATGTGCTAAAAAGGTCTATTTTGTACACGATCAATTTGGGATCGCATTTTCAGGTATAAAAATTATTATATTAATATCTTTTCACTAAATTAATTTATTAAGAATTAGTATACATTAGCAAATATAATGTTAAAAAAATATTATAAAATATCAATAAATAATAATTATTTAAATGAGTTGAGTTTTAATCAATATTCCTTCCCTTACATTAATATTAATATTTAATTATACTTTACATATTTTACAAATGGTAAAATAGTTTTACTTGACATTTTTGAATTTTTGATACTTGATATTATATTATGGATATGAATAAAGAGAACATAGTATTATTCACAATTCATAAAATGGTATATTACAGTTTCGCATTTCCACATAATGAATGCTATAACAATAATGATATCATAAACTCACATATATACGCAATGTAGGGAAACAATATAATTATAAATATATTTTGTTTGAAAATCTGTAACAGTAATATATTATTATTAATTATTAATATTATATTATATTTTAGATTTTAGGTAACATGAATGTATTGTACTCGTACATTGTTAGTAAACCAGATAATCACGATTTCTTGTTAAACGGATACGTGGACGCAATGTTTAGTTTGTGTGGTTTGTAATTTTTTATTTATGATAATTAAATAAATATCATATTATATTGTAATAGTGTAAAATACGCATATATTACGGTCTTACGGACAATATATGAAATTGTAGTGCATTGTGGAAGTACAATACCATATTTTTTTTTCAATCCAAATAATAAAAATCACTCGGAAAGTCGCTCTGCTGTTTTGTATATTTTGAATGTACCTATCTCATTGGGTAGTCTCGTAAAATATGTTCTATTTTAAATCCAAAGATAAATTTTTGCTTATACGATGTGATCACGACTTAAGGTGCTACTAAATATCTCAGTTACCTATAAAATAATTATTTCTCTTTAAACAATATTTGATATATTCTTATATCTAAAAAAATAAAATGGTAATAATAATAATAGCTACTTGAAATTTTCACCAAATGTTTATATTATCATTTTAATTATATAAAAAACTTTCAAATTTTTTTTAGTTATTCATTAGACATTTTATTTTTACTTGTTTTACTTGAATTTTTATTTTTAATCTAACATATTAATACACAAATTTGCTTGTAAAAAATAAAAATAAAAATGTTCTTTTGTTTAACTTTTATTTTAATGCATTATTTATAAATAATGACATTTTAAAATAATGATATTTATCAATTTTTTATAAATATATTTGTAAATAAAGCGTTATGATACTTCGCATATAATACTGTAGGTAAAATTATTCAATGATTTAATTTTAACTGTAGATGTATGATACTGGTATTTAAATGCATTCATTATATATTTTAACTTAAAATATTACTCTAAAAATCTACCCAAAAATTATTATTTTTTTTTAATTTGTTTTTTGATTCACTCACTTTTAAAATTTGCGTTTTCAGGAGCAGTAGGCGCCTATATAATTGGAATAATGCGATTAGATTGGAATTATTACGGTGATTTCGTTGTTGCAGTTTGCTCTTTTATTATGGGGATTCTTGTGCTGTCATGTTATTTTTACAACCACTTATATTTTATATATTTATCGTATATATTATATGGTATTGTTAGTCAAATGGCTTTTGTCTTAAATTTGTAAGTATAAAGCCAGAATACATTAAAAGATATAACACAAAATAGTGTCAAGATTGACATGCTCAATATTCGTTTTTGAAATAATTTATCTTTAAATATTTTTTATCTTATCAAGCTCCGAAATTGCGAAACGATTGAAGAGTAATTGTTTTTCTCTAGTTTATGGATTCAATGTTCTTAGTTCTGTATTAATATCTTCCTTGATGACGATGTTTTTTGTTCAAATTAATTTCCTGGAGATAACTATTCCTGGGCGGGTAAGTCTCAATATTATATTAATTATATATTTTTAATACAATATATATATTACTATTTTTTCAGTTTTTATTCATTGGTGGTTTAGAAGTCTCTGTTGGAGTAGGATTCTTCTTCCTATCATACATCAGAATGATCAAACCTTGAAAAAATATTGCACTATTTTTATATGTTATAATCTGGATATTTTGGATATTTATTGTGTCTATTAATATTATTGTTGAATATAATAAAATATACAATAATTAACTGTAAAATAGTAGTAGGTAAATCTAATAATAGTATACATAAATTTAATTAATATTATACTCATTGATTAGTATGATTTATTACTATCTTGATATAATGTGATTATAGGTACTTTTAAGTTATTTATTTATGTATTGTTTGTGAGATGTAAAAAAATAGAAAACTTCGTTACTTTGATAATATAAAGCACGGTTTTAGTGAAAATTTCACTACGTAGGACAGTAGGAAGCTATCAGTATTAAAAACTTTTAGTATTAAATTAATTAATACCATCCGTGTCAATTTCACTTTGGAAAAAACGACCTACATGGGATTCTTATAGTTCATATAGCGAAAACATTTTTAGGATTTTTTCAATGTGCACGGATAGTGGTTAAATGAATGTATGGTAGTGGGGTGGATACAATTTAAAAACAATGTTAAATAGATAAAAGCCCAGAAGAAAGCTAGTAAACTCTATTGATGTTTCGTGATCATGATAATTATATTGTAAGTAAAACATTATTTATTACGTAATATAAAAAGTGGTGCCTGTAACAAAAAACAAACATAGTATTTTTCGGAAATTTTTGTTTTTTGATAATTTTAAGATACGTTATAGTATTTAATTTTTTTTCATGATTCTATTTTGTTTTTCGGTGATTATATTATAAATTTTTGCCAACATTTTAAATGGAAACTTATATTTTTGTTGTTATGGAGAATGTATAATAATTAATAATATATATATATATATATATATCTTTTATTGTTGGTTTATGTTAATATCAATTATAAATTTCACATGCACTTTTATAATATATTTCTGTTATTTATAGACATAAAATGAAAATGAAAATTATTTGTTCAATAGGAACTTGAAATATAAAAACATGAAATAAATTTGTTTGCATTAAATAAAGGTAACTTAAAATGTCGAAAAATAATATAGACATAACGAAAGTTTCATTTGGAATTAACAATTAACCTGACTAACTTGTATACATCAATAATGTTTATAACCATACAGTATAGGAATGTATTTCAGGGAATATAAAATAATTTTGTATTGACACATTGCTATTATACTAAATATATTGAATCATCTCATGAATTTTAAAGTTTGTAGGTAGTTACAAGTATTTAGTATATTATTGATAAAAGGTTAAAGATTTATATATTCTCTTTTTACTGCCATTATATACATTACTGATTAATTTTCAATAATACGAATATTATATGACTGAATAATAATAATAATAAAAAAAAAAATTGAGTTGATTATATTAAGCCTCGATAGATGACTTTAAATAAGTACCAATAGTTCTCATATCAAAGTTATTACATATTAATATTTAGCTAAACTCGAGTAAAATATAAGCGAATACTATTTGGAAAATACATCTATAATGAATATGAAGTATAAAATTGATTTTGGATTGCTGATTTCAAATTTAATCTTCGGTAGAATTAAAAACTTAAGAAATGAGTAATTTTATTTTAATATATTCATTAAGGAAGGTATAATATTATTATACTTCAGTCATCGTAAACTGTGTAGCTTAGTGGGTTATTTTCAGAATTTTTTGTTACTCAACAAATTTAATAATGCTGTTGAAATAGTCGTCTAAAACCATACTTCTAAAATCCACCTAATCTGCAGTTAATTAGTTAAATATTTTGAACTGTCTGGTGTATTTGCGTGAAGGTTACCAAGTAGTCTGAAGGTATGTATGTACAGGGTGTAACAGAAAGATATGACAAATGAAATAACTTGTATTCTAATCAATATTTTTTCATATAATTTATAGACGTTTGTATTACACGTATAATATAAACTTTTT